TCACCTGGTCACTCAGCTGCTGAGGTCCTAAAACTGGACATTAGGGTTTACCTACAAATGAACTAACCTAGTGGCGAGACCAGCAATTCTTAACTGGGGATACCATGCAAGCACCTACATGATTCACAAGATGAACTCAAAGATGTTGAATAGGAATCCAAAGTGGCAAAAATGTTCTACCCTGTTGTGGTCCTTCTGAGTTCTTTGCGACAAAAAAAGGTTTATTGCTCTATGGTTTTCCCATAGTCAAAAAAGAAAGTGAAAGCAAAGAACTGGCACTTTCCAATGGGTCTTGAGTCTAACAAGGGCCTGAGTTTAACAAGGCTGAAAACCACTGGGTTGGACAAACATAATCGGCTTCCAGCATCAAAATTTACCATGTGAAATATAGACAGAGCCATCCCTGGGGAAGGAGGGAGGGTGAATTGGGACAACTGCCCCAGGCCCTGGGCCCCGCATTTTGGGGGCCCTGTGGTCAGTGCTGCACAGGCCCTGCTGCGGCCGCCACGCACCACTGCCACCAAGCGCCACTGCCGCCAAGCCACCGCCACTGCTGGCTCTGGCCTCTCGCCAACACCGACCCTTTCCACCGGCTCCGGCTGCTCACCATTCCCCCCCACCCCCAGTCCACCAGCTCCAGGCACTCAACACCCCCCCACCCCGGGGGTGATGTACCCTGGGCCCCGCGCACCCCTAGGGACGGCTCTGAATATAGATGCCTATTTAATATCCTTTTCACACTCCTACCCCAAGCTGCTGTTTTAAATTAAAGCATTTCACTGAAGTGTTTGCCAGCACCAACACACTGCTTGTGCATGCCCCGCTGCTGGAGGGTTTTCAGAAGCTACACACTCCACTTCAAAAGTGTCCTATCCTACCCTCCCAGGACGTGTCCTAGCTTTTTCAGCAGAGTCCCAGCATTTCAACAAAGAAGCCAGCTGTATATAAAGAACACTCTTTACCGGCACATATGTAATAATTGTTGAGCACTGTATGCCCAGTTATGTAACTTAGCTTGCAAAGAACTATGGAATACACTGTTCATCTTAACTGAGAACCTTATTTTGTGCTAGCTGTCCCAATAAAACATGTCTATGCAGAGGAACATTAATGCTGCTTCCAGTGTCTCAGCTGCCACTGGACCCAGCCCTGCTGCCCAGACATCCCAGCCCATCTGCCCCTCACCCATGGCCAGAGGTGCCAGATGGCGGGCGGGTGAGGTCTCATTGGAGGCCGTCTTAGGACCCCTGTGGCCAGGACACACTCGGCCGAGCAGATGGGATGGGCTGCGGGCAAGCAGGGAGCGATATCTGGGAGCAGGACAGGTGGACATGGGGCTGGGATCGTGGGGCAGTGACAGTGTGGGGCCTGGTCCCTGCCCACAGAACCACTGCCTGTCCTGGGGCATGCAGGGAGTGGACTGCAGTTCTGCCTCGACCCTACGCTGTCACCACCCTGCATCCCTGGACCCACCTGCCCATCCCACTCCCACTCCCAAACACTGCTCCTCACCTAGTCTGCGGCCCCATCCCATCCACCTGGTTAAACATGCCCTGTCTCCAGGGGTCCTGGCCTGACTCCATGGAGACCCTGCCTGCCCGCTAGCTCCATCCAGCACCCCCAGCGCTGGGTGTGGGGCAGATGGGCCCAGGGCTGAATAGGATCAATCGCTCCCCTCTGCCCGGCCAGTTCAGCAACCCCCCTCCCCCTCCTCCCAAAACAGCTCACCAAAACTCCTTAAGTGGCCCTCCAGCCCAAATAATTGCCCACCCTTGGTGTGGAGGATTTTGCTAGAATACTTCAGCTACTTTAACCTTTTTTAGACCAAGAGCAAGCGATGGATAGTGGAGACATAACATGCAGACTGACTGAGAAGTTAGAATGCTGTAGAACAGAAAGCAACATTTTGGAGGCCATTTATGGGTTCCTTCTGAAAATTCAATTTCCTTGCATATAAAAAACTTCCCTTTTAATAGGATCCAAATGACCTTTTGGACGGATGGAAAAAATGTATTGCCTCAAAGGGAAACCTGAGGCTGTCAGCATAATTAACCAAAGACCATATTGGCTACGTATTTAACTTATCTTCACCTCAATTAAAGAGAGCTGTCCTTGTTATAAATTGTTAAACTGGTTTTTAAATCAGTTCCTTAGAAAGTACCATATTAAGTTTCCATTCTCACAACGAAGTTCACTTGTCTTACATGTCCTTGCACTTTTTCCAGTCTGTGTTCAACATCGAGAGAAAATTTTTACCTGCAGGTGTAGCCTATGGCAGGGGTTCCCAAAGTTTTTATGCCGCGGCCCGGCAAACCATGGCTTGGAAGTGGCAAACTTGCCATGGGCCTTGCACATCCACCAGAAAAGGAAGCACCAAAAAAGTGCTCGTGTGGTGGTGACTGCTCGTGCCCAAGTGCTGCTGTATGGCCCAGAGCATAAGGTGTTTTCTGCTGCCTCATCTCTTTGAGCTCCTTACATTTTGGGATATCTAGTCTGTTTTGCTCTGTCTGGCTGGTGTATTTACATGCTTCAGTTCTGAATTGCCTCTAAAGGTAACACTGAATGCTTTTTTGGTCTAACAATTTGAACCCAGACTCCATCCTCCCAGGCCTGAACAAAGAAGCACTCAAGTAATGAAATGTCAGCCAATGTCCACAGTCTGTTATTTCAGTGGATAAAGTGGGAGTCGGAAGTAGCAAAAGAAAGATGGGGAACAATACGACACAAGACTGAGAGTCAGAAGAGAAGGGAGAGAGCCAACAGGAAACAAATGGGAACCTGAGTGTGTAGAAAGACTTATTCGAACAATTTCAAAGTCTTGAAGTTCAAGCCAGATTCTATCTTCCCTCTTAACTAATTCATCAGGCTCTTACTTAAGCACCCACAAAGGATACATGAATATAACTTCAGCGAGTGATGTTGTTTCACTTTTCTATTGGAAAATTTCCTTAACCTGTAAATGCCTCAATTGGAAATGCCCTTTGTTTAGTCTCTAGGTACAGCGAGTTACTGCAGTAGAGCAGTTGCTGTTAACAGCAGCCCTTGCCTACAGTTACGATACAAAGGTGCTTCAGGGATTACTTTGCCCCTATACTTAGAATAGAAAAAATAAATGTGGTGCTTTGTTGGAAAAGGCCAAACTGTTAATAGCCATGATAGTATTACCTAATGTACGACACCTCAACATTTGCACCGTTCTCCTTCAGATACGCTTAAATAATATTTGTGAAGCATTTTGTATTCCATCTGGATGAAAGACAAGAGTCAAATGGTGCTGGGTCGCAGGCAGGCTGTGAGCTAGTAATTTTCTCTGGTAAGTGCATGGTGGGCTTTAGACTCTAACCTTTAATTTTTCAAGACTTAGGAAGTCTCTCCGCCTCATGGCTGTAAGGACAGGCTTCAGCAGGTGGATTAAATTCTGCAACAACTGCCTAAGCCTGCCAATAAACCCCAACAAAACCTTATGGACAGACTTCAATGCCTTGCAGTGGAGTTAAAACAGAAGCCTAAAATAAAATAAAATAAAATAAAATCTAAGTCAGTCTGATCAGCAAGAAATCAGAGGCATCTGGCCCCTACAAGGAGCAACCTTCACATTTCTTTTCAGGAGCGCAGAAAAACTTGAGGACGCGCACAGGCCCCTCACTGATGTTTCCTCCATCCAGTCCCTGATTCAGAGGTCCTGCACCAAACCGGTCTGGGACAAATAAAGCATTCAATCATTTAAAGTGATTTTTCTCTTCCCTTCTCCACCCTCATCTTCAGAAGACCCGGCTAGACAAAGCCTTGGCTGGGATAATATAAATGGGGATGGTCCTGCTTTAAGTGGGGCTTGGACTAGATTCATAGATTGTAAAGCTCGAAGGGACCTCGGAAGATCATCGAGCCCAGCCCGCTGCACCAAGCAGGAAAACCTCACCAGAATGACCCCCCGAGGTCCCTTCCAACCCTCATTTTCTATTAAACCCATCCAAAACCCAGACCTTAGCCTTGTCCCTTTACCCTGGTAATGCTTAGGGGTCAAAGAGGACAGCTGGGTTCTGGATGAAAGTGACCCTGCTGCCATGCCCAGACTAGCAGGGGATCCACCAGGGGAGCAAGAAGGAGGAAGGAACAAGTGCCACAGCCACAGAGCTATCCCCGCTCCAGAGCCCTGAGCCAGGCAACCAAACCCAGGACCTCTCTACCCGGGGGGCTAAGAACCAGGGCTCCCCCCAACTCCCCCCTCCTTGTCCCCGGCCCCTTTCTCAAAGCACGTCATAAAACATGTCAATACGTCCCTCCTTCCCTCTTTCTGTGCCGGGTGAGGGAGCATCCCTGCACAGGCTCCAGCCCGGGACGAAAGCCGTGGCCTTAGGGGAGGGTAAACCGGGGTTATAAAAACAATTACACTGAACATTGATAGGATCACTATTATATTAAGATACTTTCACGGCAGGCTCCCGGAGAGGGGCAACGTGAAAGGGCCACCGAAAACGTCCGGCTGGCTTCTAGGTCATCGGCACGAAGGCCCCAAACGAGCCCCCGGCCCCAGCCACGGCTGCTCGAAGCCAATCTTTACGCCCTTCGAAGCCCGAACAGGCCAGACGGGCTAAAGAGCTGCCGGGGGCACGCCAGAACAGATGTCCCGGTTTGGGGGTCCGCAGGCGACCTGCCAGGCAAGTAAATGACTTGGTAGGACCGAAAGGCGCGGGCGGTGCTGAAGGTGGCACGGCTTTACGTGAGGTGGGGCCGGAGTTTGGGGACCGCTGAGCCACTCAGCGGGGCGAAGCCCACCAGCCCCCTCGGGGGCGCCAAGAGCGAGCCGCCAAACCG